TTTGTGGTTTCATTGTACATCATTTGGAGGCAAGGCTGACAATTGCATTGGCTGGGAATTCTGTTGTTTTGTACCGTTGTGTTTATTTCCTTTCTTTGCCATTAGTCTATATGCATCTTCCTATGTTCCTTTGACTGTCTTTTATTACTTGTTTCCATTATACTTATTGATCACAGTTCATAGTTATCACATTCCTTTTCCACTTGTTTTGCTTCCAGCTTCTTTTTCTTTTTAAGATTGATACATTGATACTGATAATATCTGTAAAAAGTGCATAGCACAGTGCCAGGCACGTAGTAGGTGCTGTGGAATGTGTGTTCCCTTCCCTCCCCTTCCTGTTTGCCCAGTGTGAGTGGCTGGTTGCCGTCCTTTGCACCAGAATCATGTGGCTGTGTTGGAGTCAAGGTAGGGTGTGCCTGACTAGGGCTGACCAGGCCATACAAGCTCGGAAGGCTCCACCGTACGTTGGGCACGGGTAATCCGTGTGGACGCTGGGAGCTGAGATGCCTCTAGGTTTGCAGATCTCGCCTTTCTTTTAAGCTCCTGCAATTCTGCTTTGCTCACAGAGCGCACCTTCTCTCCTGAGGGCGTGCCACGCTGAGCGGTCCCGTGCTGGCATCTGCCACGGCTCACCGTCGAGGCCAGAGTTCTTCAGAGCGTCTTCCTATCTCTTCTGACCTCCACGTGAGCGCTTGACTTGTCTGAGTTCTTAGTAAAATGGTCTTTTAGGCAGACACTTGGCATTTGAACAGCATGGCTGCTCCATGGGATTGCACTCTCTGCATTAGAGTTTGAATACTTGGTGGTTTAGTTTGAGAAAGGACCTCGGTGTCCGGCACCTTCTGCCAGGCGATCTTCGGCATCTTCCTGAGACAGTTCACATGGAAGAGATTCCGTTTCCTGGCACGGCTCTGGTAGAGTGTTCTGGTTTCATAGGCGTATAACAATGAGGTCAGCACAACGGCTCTGTAGACCTTCAGTTTGGCCATCAGTCTAATCCCTCTTCTCTCCCACACTTTCCTTCTGAGCTTCCCAAACACTGAGCCAGCTCTGGCGATGTGTGTGTCAGCCTCATCATCTATGTGGACATCCCTGGAAAGTACACTGCCGAGGTAAGTGGACTTATCCATAGCATTCAAAATTTCCCTGAGGATTCCACCTATGGATGGTGTGGTGCTGGCTGGTGGAGAACCTGTGTTTTCTTGGTGTTCGTTGTTAGGCCAAAATTAGCACAAACAGCAGAGAATCGATCGACACTTTGTTGCATCTCAGATCTTCAGAGAGAGTTTCATAAGAGATATCTCCATAAGAGGTCTTCAGAGCCTACATTGAATGCACAATGATCCGCAAACAAAAAAGAGTCGCACAACAACTCTCCCTCCACTTTAGTCTTGGCTTGTAGCCTTTTCAAGTTAAATAATTTACCATCAGTGCGGTAGCTGACCTTGATGCCATTTTCATCCTTGTTGAAGACGTCTGACAACAGCACTGAAAACATCATGCTAAAAGCCTGGGGCCGAGCACGCAGCCCTGCTCCTCTCCGTTGGTAGCCGGGAAAGCACGCCATCACAGAACTGGTGTACAACGCTGATAAATTATGCCATGATCCTCCACCAGTCCTCAGGACTTGTGGTATCAAAGGCCTCGGTCAGGCCGTTGACTTCCACGGGGACTGTTCCGTAGCCCTTCCTGAAGCTGCAGTGGCTCTTGGGTAGATGACCGTCTTCCAGGTCAAGGATCAGCCTCTTAAGGAGGACCCCGGCAAGAATCTTGCTGGCCGTGACCGAGAGAGAGCGCCTACACGCACAGCCTGTGGTTGTCACAGGACAACCTATTTCTTTTTCCTTTATAGACCCCTAGGGGATACCCTCCTCTTGTCATGCACCCCAGAGGATTTCAGTCGCTTTTGTGTGACCAGCAGGCCCCCTGCCTTATGAACCTCGGCATCAGGTGCTTTGCCACCCAAGAGGAGCCTGACGGCATTCAGAACCTCTCCTTGCGTTGGAGGTTCAGGGTGAGCTTCTCCTCCCTCCCTTCCTCCTAGCTTGTATAGATGTCTCCTCTGCCCCCAGCTGTGGGAGATCATTCACCGCGTGCTGGCTCTCCCTTTGTGTTCCTGTTGCCCTCGCCTTTCCTTCTTTTAAGATCAGCAGAGCAGAGCGGAATGCTCCCAGCTCCTCCGTCTCACTAGACTCCCCCGACCCTCGTTTCTGAGGGGGCACACTTGTCGTCCCCCAGATTAGGATATAAACAGATGATCCTTGTTTGGTTCCTTAGGGTTTCTTGCTCCTGTTTACCTTTTATGTTTCCCGTGACTCCTGTGTTTGAGGTTCTGGTCTTTTTATTATGAATGCTTGGTGCCACTGCTTGGTCTGTATTACAAAGAAATCATAAAAAAGGGAAAAGGACCCACATGTACAAAAATATTGATAGCAGCTCTTTTTGTTGGTGGCCAAGAATTGAAACTGAGGGGATGCCCATCCATTGGGGAATGGCTGAACAAGTTGTGGTATATGAATGTGATGGAATACTATTGTGCTATAAGAAATGATGAACAGGCAGACTTCAGAAAAACCTGGATGTCTGAACTGATGCAGAGTGAAGTGAGCAGAACCCGGAGTAACAGCCACGTTGTGCGATGATCAACTGTGATAGACTTAGCTATTCTCAGCAATCCAAGACAAGTCTGAAAGACTCATTTTGGAAAATGCTGTCCACATCCAGAGAAAAAACAGTGGAGTCTGAATGCAGGTGGAAGAATGCTATTTTCACTTTATATTTTTTGTGTGCTTTATATATTTTTGTTTTGCAAACGAATTGTTTTGTAGATTTTTTCTTTCCCAATGTAACTAATATGAAAATAGGTTTTTTACAAGATTGCACATATGTAACCTATATCAAATTGCTTACTGTCTTAAGAAAGGAAGAGGGAAGGGAGAAAATTTGGAAGTCAAAATTTTATAAAAAATGGATGTTAAAAATCATCTTTACATATAATTGGAAAAAATAAAATACTGTTTAAAAAAGAGGAATGTTTGGAAACCATTTATTTCTGTACCCAACTGTGTGTGTGTGTGTGTGTGTGTGTGTGTGTGTGTATGCGTGCGTGTGCGTTCCTACCTTTGGCCAGTTCAGATGAGAGTGAAGTTGAAATGTCAGCTGTTCCCCCTTTCTTCTTGTTTGTATAGACTTTCTGTCTACTGATGATTATGGGAGATAATTTTCCCAACTTTCCTTTCTTTACCTTCCCTAGTGTATTTCTCTTCTCCTTGCTTTCCATTCTTCTCCTGAGATCAAGACTTATCAGAACTACTCCCAGATCTTATCTAATGCGATTTCCTCTGTGACCCTTGATAGAGGTTGGGGGTACACATGTATCCTCTCCTTTATTTGAATCGACTCTGTTTATCCTTGTTTAGTTCATTGTCATTTTCTCTTTTCCCTCCCGCATTTGATCCTGAAAGTTTCTTCTTAGCTTTGGTTTTTTAATTAAGAATGCTTTGAAGGCCTCTATTTCATTAAATATACATTCCCCCCCACTCCCACCCCCGCCGTGGCATTATACTTAGTTTTGCTGGCTGCGTTGTTATTGGCTGTCACCCCATATTCTTTGCCTTCTGAAATACTGTACCCCAAATTCTCTGCTTCTTTATGCTGGTGGCTGCTAAATTGTGGGTGATCCTGACTGTAGCTCCTCAGTACTTGAATTCTTTCTGGCTGCCTATGGTATTTTTTTCTTTGACTTGGAAGCTCAACATTTTGGCTGTGATGTTCATAGGAGTTTTCATTTTGGGGTTTCATTCAGGAGGTGGCCAGTGAAGTTTTTCTACTTTTCTGCTTCTACTTTGCCCTTTAGTTTTAAAAGATCTGGGCAGTTTTCCTGTAAGATTTGTTGAAATAGGGTGTTTAAGCTTTATTTTTGGTCATGGTGTTCAAGTAGTCCAACAGTTTTTAACATTTCTTTTTTTTCTCCTGGATCTGTTTTCTAGGTAAGTTGTTTTTGCTAAGAGAAATTTTACATTTTCTTCAATTTTTTCAGTCTTATGACTTTGTTTTAATATTTTTTTGTTGTCTCAATTAGCTTCTATTTGGTCCATTCTAATTTTCAGGGAGTTTGTTGCTCAAGTAAGGTTTTATACCTCTTATTCCAAGTTAATTGATTTCTTTCCAACTTCTTCTTCCGTACCTCTCATTTCTTTCCCCATTTTTTCCTTTAGTATATTCATTTATAAAAACACTTTAAGCTCTTTTAAAAAAAAACTCTTAAGCTCTTCTAGGCATTCTAGTTGAAACTGTATACAAACTGTCATTTTCTTTGAGGCTTTGCTTGTAAATGTTTTGGAGTTTTTCTCTTCCTCGTTTTTGTTTGTTTGTTTGTTTCTTTTGAGCATCCCTGTCATTGTAATAGCTTTTAATGGTGGGGTTCTTTTATTTATTTGTTCTTGCAGCCTGCTTCCTGACCTTGGACTCTGTGTCAGGATCTTCGTACTTCTCGGGGGGAGCCCGGGCTGGTATCGCTGCTGCATTTGGGGGCTGTTGAGTGATGTGTTATTCCAGGATCTGCCGTTTTTCAGTGTTTCCAGAGTGATCTGATCAGGGCAGAGTCAGATCTTTGCTCTTTCGGTCTGAGCTATGCGAGTTCCTGACCTGAGCATGGGTCTTAGCGATGCGCTGGTGAACTTCCCTCTGGTGGGAGTTCCAGGAGCCCGGTACGAGCCTCTATCACTCTCAGCGAGCTGCAAGCTTACCAGCTCCCTTTGGGCCTGGGATTCCTCCTCGGGCACTCCGCTGCAGGCTTCACAGTGAGCTGGAGGCTGGCACTAGGCCCTGCTCCTGGCCTGGGCTCAGAGCCACACCGTTGCCACTTGCTTCTCAACTTGTTCTGTGCTAAGCCCACCATCCACAGGACCTGTTACCTCTCTTCCACCTGGAACGTCACCCCTAGGCTCAGGTCCTCTCCTCAGCCTGCCTTTGCTCTGTGACCCAGAAATGGGTAGCGAATGAGCGAGCTGCCGCTGGGCACCCCTTCACTCGCCCTGCACGAGCTTAGGCCCCTTGGTGCTGGATTTGGGGACTCCTTTTTTCCTTGGTGCTCTGCCTCACCTTACCATCTTGTTTCTGTCTCTCTAATGAGTTGGATTTAATTCTGGAAGTGCCTTATAACTTCGCTCTGACTTCCAACTCGGCAGAAAGCTGTGTAGGGATTGTGATTTCCTGGGAACTGCAGGAAAGGGCCAGTTTTGAACTCATTGTGTCCTTTTCTTCTCTAGCCCCACCTTCGGATGACTGCACCCCTTCCTAGGAGAAGGTCGCTTTGCAGAGACTCCGGTGGCCCCAATGCTCCCGACAGCTGGGCCCCAGCAGGTGAGTGGATGCTTGCTCTTTCCTGAAATACCACCTCCATGTTTCATGCGTTTTCTTAGTCTCTTTAATATCATTTTAATTATCTGTGTGAGAAAGTCTTCGATCTGTCCATTATTTAGGGTATCGTTGGCATTTAGGGAGTCATCTTTTCATTTTTCCTTTATTGAGTTATAGACTCTAAAGGACATAGTTAAGATTTTTGTCTTTCTCGGGGCAGCTAGGGGGCACAGTGGATAGAGTACTGGCCCTGAAGTCAGGAGGACCTGAGTTCAAATCTGGCCTCAGACCGAATACTTGACACTTACTAGCTGTGTGACCCTGGGCAAGTCACTTAACCCCAATTGCCTTTTAAAAAAAAAAAGATTCTTGTCTTTCTCCTTTGGTTTATTAATTTTGTTTCCTGACATGTGATCATCATTTCGGTAACTTTCATGGGAATCTGAGAGGCATACATATTTGTGACAATTCCATTGTAAAAATTGCACCCAGTTATTTTATCCCAGCTGTTTGCTTTGACCTGTATGCATTCCTTTGCATTACATGTGTTTCTTATAAGCAGCAAATCTGGAGGTTTTGTGTTCTAATCCTTTCTGCAAATCACTTTCATTGGGGAGCCCACTAATTGTCAAGGTTGTATTTAATTAGGTATCACTCAGTTAGTTCTTGTTAGGTTACAGTCTTTCATTTTATCAGCATAAGGTGGTGTGCTACTGCCTGGTTTCCCGCTTACCATCCTTAGTCCGTCGCTCCTCATTTGTAATACTGCAGTCTCAATCATCACTTCCTCATCTCTCCTGCTCACACCTAAGACAGAGCTTGGCCTCTGCCTTTTGTTGAGAAAAGGCTTTTTGAAATTCTTGTGTTATTTAGGAACTGGATCAATTCATAAAGATCTTCCCTGTTTCCTCTGAAATTGTCCGTTTCTTTTGGCACAATGATATGCCATGACATTCCTGTTACAGTTTGTTTAGCCGTCCCCCAACAGGAGGACGTCTTCCTTTCCAGCTTTTGGCTACTACGGATAGAATCAGGATGCGTACTTTTAGGCGTTCTTGCAGTACAGCTGGGCCAGAGGGGATGTATGCTTTGGTCACTTTCTGGGCCTAGTTCCACATTGCTTTCCGGAGTGTCTGGACCAGGTCGCAGCTCCACCGCCAGCTCTCTAGTGTCCCTGTCGTCCCACGGCCCTCCGGCGCTGGCCATTTTGTTCTTTGGTCATCTCGGCAGTCTGATGGCAGTGAGGGGGAACTCAAAGTTGCCTTAATTTGCATTTCTCTAATTATTGGTAATCACACGATTGTTAATAGCTTGGATTTCTCACTTTGAGAAGTGACTGTTCATGTCTTTTGACCATTTCTCTATGGGGAGTAGTCCTCATTGTTATAAATTTGGATTAGTTCCTTGTATATCATAGTTGTAAGACCTTTGTTAGAAAAACACGCTGTAAAGATTCCTCTCCTCCCCAATTATCTGTTTCTTTTCTAAATTTTACTACATTAGATTTGTTTGTGCAAAAACATTTGAATTCTATATAATCAAAATTGTCCATTCTGTCTTGTATGATTCCTTCTGTCGTTTCTTCGGTTCTGAACTCTTCTCCTATCTACAGAACTGATAGGTAGTTCTTTCTTGCTCCTATGATCTGTTTATGATATGACCTTCTATGCCTAGGCCGTGTGTCCATCTGGAGCTTATCTTGGTGTCTGGCGTGAGAGATGGGTCTGTACCTAATTTCTGCCAGAATCCTTTATGATTTTCCAATCAGCTTTTGTCAAATAGTATGTCTCCCCCCACCCCCATCCCCCCAATACTGAGGTCTTTGGGCTTGTAAAATACAGTTTGTTTGCTTCTGTATGTTTTATGCCTAATCTTCTCTGCTGATTGACCTCTTTTTTATTGACCAGTATCAAATTGTTTTAATGATTACTATTTTGTTGCGATCTGGTTCCAAGAAACCCTATTCTCACCTTTTTAATTATTATCTTTGAAATTCCTGACCTTTTGTTCCTCTTCATAAATTTCATTATTATTTTTTCTAGGAATACAAAATATTCCTTTGGGAGTTTGATTGGCACAGCACTGAGTAAATGAATACACTTAGGTAGTACTGTCATTTTTATTATAATGGCTTGATCTACCTGTGAAAAGTGAATGTTTTTCCAGTTTTAGGTTTAGATTCATTTCTTCAAAGAGTGTTTTATAGTTTGAGTCTTATAGTCCCTGGGTGAATCTTGGTAAATCCACTCCCAAATATTTCACAGCTTTTTGTTATTTTCCAGCTGGGTTTTGTTACAATAACAACAACCACAAGAACAATAATAATAGCTAGCCTTTGTGTAGCGTAGAAGATTTGCAAAGCACTTTACAAACATTATCTCATTTGATCCTACGTCAACTCTTGGGGGTAGATGCTATTTTTTTTTTTAAGGCAGTTGGGGGTTAAGTGACTTACTTGCCCAGGGTCACACAGCTATTAAGTGTCAAGTGTTTGGTCTGAGGCCGGATTTGAACTCAGGTCCTCCTGACTTCAGGGCCGGTGCTCTATCCACTGTGCCACCCAGCTGCCTTCTCCCATAGATTTTTAATCTCCATTTTGTAGATGAAGAAACTAAGGCAAACAGGGTTAAGTGACTTGCCCAGGGTCACACAGCTAGTAAATGTCTAGGGCTGGACTTGACTCAAATGTTCCTGACTCCAGCTCCGGCGCTATTCACTGTGCCACCTAGTTGCTTTCACATAGGAAGACAGATGATTTTTGTGGCTTTATCGTATATCCTGCAACTTTGCTGAAGTTACTAATGATATCAGTGAATTTTTAGTTGACTTTAGGCTTTCTTAAAAATACATTATCCTATCTGCGAAAAGTGATAATTTTGTTGTACCTCCATCCGTTGCTTCTGATTTTGTACTCAGAGGCCAAACACAAAAAGTCTAATCTCTCCTCTCCATGGCAGCTCTTCAGCTCCTTGAAGACTGAGATCATATCTTTCCTAAGACTTCCCCATTTCCATTCAGCCAGCTCCCCAGTTCCTTCCACTAACCCTCAATGATGGACTCAATGCCCTTCCCTCTCCTGGTTGCCCTCCTCTGGACATTCTCCAGCTAATTAATATCCTCCTTAGACCATGGCATCCCAGACTGAGCATCATCCTTGAAATGGAGTCTGATGAGGGCTGAGTGCGATAGACCTCTCCTCGTTCTGTGTCTGAGTATTCTTCTTAGAGCCTGCTCTGAGGTCTGTTTTACCCGACTTACTCGTCTGGTCTTGACCAATTCTGCTGCTCCACAGTAGGATATCTTGTGTGAAATGACTTGACTCTAACTGATATTAAGAAATCAAAATCCGTGTTCCTGTCGGCCGGGCCACAGTTAGGGAAAATACAGTGTCCCATAGTCACCAAGTCACTCTTGGTGTCAGGATTTCCCAACTGTCAGGCTTACAGTCCTCATGTTTGTTGTATTCAGAGAAGATGCCAGGAGAGAGGTCACTTTGGCCCTCTGTTTAACAGAGTCCACATCAGAGTCAGAAAGAAACACCAGTTTACTTCGTTTTGTGTTTCAGGAATCAGTGACATTCAGAGATGTGGCTGTGGACATCACCCAGGAGGAATGGGGATACCTTGACCCTTCACAGAAGCAGTTGTACAAGGATGTGATGCTGGAGAATTACAGGACCCTGGTTTGCCTGGGTAAGGATAGTTACCCCCGTGACCCAGACTCTTCTCCTGACTCGTCCCTCAGCAAATGCTGTGTGATATCCTGAGTACCGAGCGGTTGGTGCTTAGCATTCACAGGCTAAAAATGTCTAAATCTTTTGTGACCAGGAAAGACAGGACATGTTATTCATTCACAGATGAAAGGTTTTGGTTTTTTTTACATACCTTGAAAGTGACCCCTGAACCGCTGTCCGTAAGGTTTAACTTCCCTCCTTCTCTGTCCCCTGAGATCTAAGATTCTCCCCTCAAGCCCCTGAAGGTACCTGAAAACATGGATGGTTTGTCTTCACTTAACAAGGAGCAGGTCAAGGGAAACACTTTTTCGTTCCTTACCCAAGCCGGTTTTGTATTCTATTTCTCCATACTGTAGAATGGTACAAATTAACTGGGGAAAAAAGATTTAAATTCATTGGCTTATAAAATAAACCTTATGACTTTAACCTTAAATAAAATTAAAATGACCTTATAACTTTATATCTTAAAAAAGCTTTCAATATGCAGTATGTCCTTGGCCTGCAATCACTTGCTTTATATAACTTGCCTTTCTTCTGTGGTTCCCTCCAATTTCTCCTGGCCTTATTTCTCTTATTTCTCCTGGCCTCTTTCTGTACATAGTTGTTTGCATTTTGTACTTCCCATTAGACTGTGAGTACCTTGAGGGCAAGGACTAGTTTTGCTTTTCTTTGTATCCCCAGCTCGTAACTGGGTGCGGGCACACTAAGGCCAGGTCCTTAGTATGTTGACTTGATATGACATTGAGTTCACAAGATATTGACATGTTCTTTTTAATTCTTCATGAAACCACATTTTTATTATATTAGATATTAAGCATTCCTTGAGCAGTCCATTTTTCTAAGTCTAGCCTTGCTTATAGCCCATAGATTTTCTGTGGTGTTTAAATCAGGTGACTTTGGAGCAAGGAGGAAATTACCTTTCAGATCTGCGGATAGAGAACAGAACAAAAGATAGAGTATCACAGAAGAGAAAATGGACAATTATCATTATGCATAATCATAAAGTTTTTATGCAAACAAATCTAGTGCAGTAAAAATTAGAAAGGAAATGAATGACTGGGATAAATCTTTGTACTAGGTTTCTCTAATAAGGGCTCACATCAAAGGTTTTCAGTCAATGAATCCAAATTTATAAGAATAGGACCATTCCCAGGTATGTGACCCCAGGATGGGAACAGTGAGTTCTCAAAGGAGGAATTGCAGGTTATCAATAATCATGTGAAAACATGCTCCAGGTCACTATGGGGGATATGGAAGATCAAGCCACTGACGTTCTGCCTCACGCCCCTCAGAGTGGCAAAGAGGACAAACAGGGAACATTACAAATATTAAAACACCTGCAGGAAAGCGGTCGCACTAGCACACTGTTGGTGGATCTGTGGACTGGTCCAGCCATTCTGAAAAGCAGCTTGGAACTATGCCGCATGGATTACCAAACCATGCACACTTTGACCCAGCAATGCCACTGCTAGACCTGTAGCCCAAAGAGAACAAAGAAGGAGGAAAAGGATCCACACATGCTAAGACATTTATAGTTAACACTCTTTGTAGTGGCAAGAATTGGGAACTTGGGGGGTACCCATTAACTGGAGAATGGCTAAACAGATTATGGTGTATGAATATAATAGAATGTTACTGGCCTCTAAGAAATGACAAAGTGGATGGTTTCAGAGGACACTGGGCATGTTTCTTTGACTGATTCAGAGTGAAGTGAGCAGAACCAGAACAGTCCATACAGTGACAGCAACATTGTAGAGAAAAACAACTTTAAGGGAATTTAGAACTCTGATCACTATAGTGAGAGACCTTGAGTCTGAGGAGGGAGGATGAAACTCACTAATGGACCCCTGGTGCAGAATGAGATGTGCATCTGTAGGCCTGGCCAACATGAGATTTTGTTTTGCAGTACCAGTGCTGTTTTTTTTCTCTTCTTTCTTACTTTTTAAATGGTTCTTTTGGTAGGGCAGTAGGAAGAAGAGCTAATAAATACCTCCAAAACAAACGTCTAGAATTGAACTTATAAGACAGAAAAATTTTTTCAATGTCAGATGATTTTCCAGGCAATTGCAGAATATTTATCTCTATACCTTAGGTAGGCTTCTTAATCTTTCTTGGCATGTGGCATGGTGCAAGGTCTTACTGCAGTAATATGTCTTCACTTGAGAATTTCTTTTATTCTGGAACAATTCTGCTCTCAGCATACCAATATACTTATCAAGGTTCATCTTTCTCACTGGGGACTAGACCTGTAGTGCTCCTGAAGTAAAAAGTCCCCCGATCGCTTTTTCTGGATGGATGTCACGCAGTCTTACAAAAATGCTTAGGTCTGACAGACTTCCTTGGGTATCTGACGATGGTTTAGGTATAACCTTAAATGAAAAAGTGAGTTTCATCAGTGAGAATTGCCTTTTCCAATCCTCGCTGCTCTGCCCTTTTTATCATCTTGACTTTGACGAGCATTTTTTTCTTCATAGCATCAGTTAGCAGCAGCTTCTCTTTTAACTGGTCTCGTGCTTCTTCCATCCTCAGGACACCTGTGCCCACTGCAGAGGAGTCGCTGGCCGTCCCCGCAGCTCTCAGGGCCTTTGGAGGGCGTTGGTTTTCCAAAGCTTAATTAGGCTGCTGGGCCGCGGTCGTTTGTCCGTGCTTGGCGTTTGCCATTTCAGCGGCGTCTTCCTTTGTGCTGCAGTGTGATCCTGTTTCATCGCGGGCTAATTGATTCTTGAGACTCTTGACTTCTCTACCCAATAGCTGTTGTAATATTGCTAACAGTCGTTGAAGTGTGCTCTGTAAGAGCTACAACTTTTGCACATTTCCTTGGGGGTAACATCCGTTCTTAAAAACTATGTAATTTAAAATTTAAAAGAAAACCATGACACACTCGTGATTGGCAAGAAATTTGGCGCTCACGTGCCAGAGAACTAACCAAAGGAGGGGAAACCAGCCCAGTTCACTTCCTTGGGGTCGGGCTCAGATGTTCTGAATTAGCATAATGTCAGTGGAAGTACGTATTCATGATCATTGATTGCTGTCACAAAATAAAACCATGTGAAAACTATTGCTCTTTCCAAGTAATTCACCCGCCATTGCACGTGGCACGACAGTACAACGCATGCTTCAGTGTTACCCTGGGGCCTTCCTCCCATGACCACTTATCCCCAAAGAGCAGTGTTCAGGATTGAATTTATGCCGGTTCTCTGACCCGGACTCTTTCGCATTTACGTTGAGCAGGACTCGTATTTTCTAAGCCCCATTTGATCTGCCGGTTGGAGCAAGGCAGAGCACCTTGGATGCCAGAGGGAGCGGCCCCACGACGCAGCCGGACAGGTGAGTGAGCAGGCATCAGCTGCAGACCCCTGGCCGGAGCTGAGGCTTCACCGAGCCTCCACTGAGGTCTCCCGGACGAGGCAAAGTCCTGACTTCCCTGCACTCGGGTGTCCCTCCTGGTCAGAGAAGAAGGAGCCTCCTTGGGAATAGGCCGTCCGCCTCTGCTCTTCTTGGGGGCTGCCCCTCCGCCTCACTTGACGGCCCATTTATTCACATGCTGTTTTTTCAAGTGTTGCTGAGAAACTGCCGTAAAATAAAAAAATGTCCTCTTCTCTTGGCTCCCCTCTTTCCTGCTAATGGGTCTCTTCTATGAATTCTTAGGGTTGTTTTATTAAAATTCTCTTTACACTCAGATAGATGAACAAACCATTTTCAAAAAGGTTCAGAAGCAAATCAGATCAGTCTGAGGATTTACCTCACGCTGTGCAGACAGGCAAGAAGGAAAATGGGGAAGAGTCAGTGTGGGAGGGGTTGTGGCGAGTCAGGCACGTGGGGCACTGGGGCACTGGGGCTGGGCTGGGCTTGTCTCTTTGTACTCGAGTTCCCAAGGCCTAGCAGAGACCTGGGCCTGCGGAGGAGGCCCCGTGAAGGCTGATTACTTGGGTGGGCAGCCATGAAGTTGTCTAACAGCTCTGGGTTTCATTGACACAGTGCTGTTATCTCACTTGATCCTCACAACAGCCCTGGGAGGCCAGTGTTATTATTCTCCCCATTTTACGCTGAGGCAGACAGGTTATGGAACTTGCCCGGGTCACACAGCCGATAAGTGTCTGAAGCCAGATTTGAACTTGGGTCTTCTGAGCCCAGCTCTCCATCCACTGGGACCTCCCTTTCCCTCTGCAGTCAGAGGAGCATGAATTTAGGACTGCCGGAGTCATCAAGTTCACTCTCCTTTTTACAGACCAAGGAACTGGGAGAGAAAGGCAGACAGCTACTGTGAAAAGTGAGTCGTTCGGGCCCCTCCTGCACTCCAGTCAGTGTGAATTAGTTCAGTGTGATTCCAAATGAGCAATTATTAGTGATATACTCATCTCATGATATGCTTTGAGTCAGTCATCTAAAAATAGTACAAGAATAGACATGTATTAATCTATGATAATTAGATAAGATAGGTTCTTTTGTAGGCCTTTATAATTGACCTCAAACAGTTTTAGTGCTGTGCCAATCTATTCTGAAAACAGTACTGTGTAGAAATAGACAAAACGGTAACAAGATTAATGTTATAACCTGTATATGGAAAAATAAAAGGTCAAGAATATCAAGGGAAATAATCCATAGAAAGAGAGAATGAAAATGACTCTGGCATTACAAAGTCTCAAAATTACATGAAAAAGCAGTTATTTTCAGAATTATTTGATAGCACATTTTAAAAATTGAAAAGTAGATTAGTGGCATCAGGTAAGGTAAGGATGTCCCAGAGGCAGATGTATGTGGCAGGTTAGCATTGGGTCAGCCAACCCAAGAGTACAAGCTGCTGAGGGAGCCTGTCCTTATTTGACTAGAACTACAGTGCATTTTGCTGGAAAATAGGCCGAGGGCATGATTTTTCTGGTTGGACGTACAGAGATGGGACTATGTCTACAACAGAGACAGGAAGGATAATTCACATTTTTTCATTTCTTTCAGAGTGGGAGATTCCACATGAATCCAAAGGAGCGTCTCAGGAAGTGCTACAGGGTAGACTTGAGAGAGATAGCCCCTGTTTTTTGGATGAAGCCTTGGAATGTGAGTCCAGATCAGAGAGGCAGCAGAACCATGAGGAGCAGCGTGCCTGGTCAGTGACGTTCCCACAAACAAAGCCTCCGAATCAGTCAGGAGGCCTCGAATGTGCTATAGGCTGTGGAAAGAGTGTCCTTCGGGGACCAGTTCTCTTCCCACAGCAAAGAGATGAGAAGAGTCTAACTATGTGTGACTCTCATAGAAAGTGCTTCAGACCGTATACAGATGTGAGAAAATGTAACGGATTATGCTCAAAGAAAATTCTTTCTAAATGTAATCAATATGGGAAATCCTATTGGCATAATTTAGCCCATCTTGGAAATTGTAGAATATGTACCAGAGAAACTTGTAAATGTAATGAAAGCGGGAATACCTTTGAGCAGAATACAGTGCTGACTGACCACCAGATAGTTAATGCCAGAGAGAATCCTCATAAGTGTAACGTATGCAGGAAGGTGTTTGTCCTGACAACGCAGCTTACTCAGCATCAGAGAGTTCCTCTTGGAGAGAAACCTTACAAATGTGAAGAATGTGGGATGATCTTCTCGTCAAAGAGAGAACTTACTTTTCATCAGAGAATTCATGCCAGGGAGAGATCTTATAAACAGAATGACTGTGGAAGTACCTTCAGTCTAAGGATACAGATTCCTCGACATCAGAGAATTCATACAGGAGAGAAACGTTATGAATGTAATGAATGTGGGAAGGCCTTTCGACTAAAAGCACAGCTTAATCAACACCAGACAATTCACACTGGTGAGAAACCATATCAATGTCATGAATGTGGGAAGGCCTTCCGACTAAAAGGGCAGCTTAAGCAACACCAGACAATTCATACTGGTGAGAAGCCTTATAAATGTAATGAATGTGGGAAGTCCTTTCGCAGGAGCTCACACCTTACTGGACATCAGAGAATTCATACCGGGGAGAAACCTTATGAATGTAAAGAATGTGGCAAGGCCTTCTGCCTGAACACAGCTCTTACTAAACATCAGAGAATCCATACTGATGGGAGACCTCACAAATGTAATGAATGTGGCAAGACTTTCCTCCTAAGCAAAAGTCTTGCTGAACATCAAACAATTCATACTGGGGAGAAACCTTATCAGTGTAATGAATGTGGGAAGGCCTTCCGCCAAAGCAAAGCACTTACTGTACATCAGATAATTCATACTGGGGAGAAACCTTTTGAATGTATTGAATGTGGGAAAACCTTCCGACTAAAAGCACTGCTTACCCAACATTATAGAATTCATAGTGGAGAGAAACCCTATGAATGCACCGAATGTGGGAAGGCCTTTCGCTTGAACTCAATTCTTATCGAACATCAAAGAATTCATACTGGAGAGAAACCTTATGAATGTTGTGAATGTGGGAAGGCCTTCCGCCTGAACTCAGCTCTTACAGAACATCAGAGAATTCATACTGGTTGGAAACCTTATGAATGTAGAGAATGTGGGAAGGCCTTCCGAGTTAAAGCACAGCTTAATCAACACCAGAGAATTCATACTGGAGAGAAGCCTTATGAGTGTAATGAATGTGGCAAGGCCTTCAGTCACACCCGAGAACTTAAAAGACACAAAAGAATTCATACAGGAGAGAAGCCTTATGAGTGTGTTGAATGTGGGAAGGCCTTCCGCCTGAGATCGCATCTTACAAATCATAATCGAATTCATACCGGTGAAAAGCCTTATGAATGTCAGGAATGCTGTAAGGCCTTCAGTCGCAGGGCAGAACTCGAGCAGCATCAGAGAACCCACACGGGTGAGAAGCCTTATGAATGTCAGGAGTGTGGCAGGGCCTTTAGTCGAAGGTCAGATCTTAGAAGACATCAGAGAATTCATAGTGGAGAGAAACATGACAAATGAAACCTTTCTCTGGGTTCTTTTTCTGCCCGTTTGATTTCTTTTCACTCTCCTTTGGTGGATCATCTTTCCTGTCATGCCCACTAACTGAGTATGCTCCAGGGTTCTGTCCTAAGCCCTCTTCTTTTCTAAGTGCTTTCACTTAGTGATGTCTTCAGCTCCCATCAGTTAATTTATCACATTTATAGATGATTCCCAAATCTATATATCCAGCCCCAGACTCTTACCTGAGTTTGGTCTCCCATCATTACCTGCTTGTTCATTATGAACTGGAGATCCCATAGGTATCTCAAACTCCACATGTCTAATACAGAACTCATTAACTTCTCTTCTAAATGAACTTCCGAGGGCATCACCTTCCTTCCATTTACTGAACTGCACCACCTCAGTGTCATTGCCAGTTCTCTGCTCTCACTCCACATCTAATTAGTTATCAGTTACCATGCTCTCTCACCCATCCCCTCAACTCTACTCACATGGCCACCATCCTACTTCAGTCTCTTACCACCTTTTGCCTGGTTAGTTGCCATATCTGGTCTTCCTCCCTGGAATGACACCCCACTCTAATCTGTCTTCCACATAACTGCCAAAGCGATTTTCCTAAGGCACAGGTCTAACCATATCACGTTCCTACTTGGGATACTCCAGTGACTCAACAGTACCTCTATAATTAAATATAAACTCTTGTTTGGCATTTAAAACTCTTCGCAACATGACCCCTTCTTGCCTTTCCAGGCCACTTTTACATGGCTGCTTTCATTCTCTCTACAACCCCGCCGTAGTGGTTCAAAGTATGTGATGTTGCTCACACACCAAACACCATCTCCCATCTCCGTACCTTTGCACCGGCTGTCCCCCATACCTCATACCATCAGATGGGGATGCTTCCCTCACGATATCTGCTTCCTGGCGTCATTGTTTCCTTCACAATTCAGCTATGATCCCACTTTCTGTGGCAGGTCTCTTCTGGTTCCTCCAGCTTCTAGTGCCTCCACCTCCAACTTTTCCTTGTATATGATTTATGTCTCATATATTAATTGCTAACATTTATGTAGCACTTAATATGTTCCATCCACCGTGCTGACCACTTCACAATTATCATCTCTGATCTTCACAACAACCCTGGGAAGCAGATGCTATTATTATCCTCATTTTGTAGAAAAGGAAATGGAGGCAAATAGGGACAGAAGAGAACACTTCTTACCCTCAATAATTTATATGTATCTACATATGTAGATATTTCATTTCTGGGGCATCTCTGGAACGTACTTCTTTCTTTCCTCTGATGCTGCCTGGACCACTGCAATAGCTGCTGGAAAGGTCAGCCTCAAGTCTCTCCCACGCTCCAGTCCACCCTCCATTTGGCCACTGAAGTGATTATTTTAAAATGAAGGTCCAATCATGTAACCCTACATACACGCGCGCGCACACACACACACACACACACACACACACACACACACACACACACAC